TGCTGAATGCCACATCTTATGCTATCACTACTGATATTTGGACTTCACCAAGTAATAAATGTCATTTACTTCTCATTGGATAACAGAGGACTTAAAAAAAATTGCTGTTCCTAGATACAAAACTGCAGGTTTTCAAAATAAATTCCAAAAGATTAGAAGTTGTTGTACCTCATAGTAAGCTTAATCACGGTAAATGATATAACTTTTAGCAATCACGGTAAAATAAATATTCTGAATCTGCAAAATCAGTTACTGAACAGGTTAACTCCAAAAAAAACTTCCTAAACTATATTAAACTTTATTGATTAATTACAAAAATCAGTTTAATTTTAAATCCATATAAGTTTAAGAAATTTTGATTTTTTAAGTTTAAAATGTATTTCATGAATAAATTTGAAACTCCATTTAAAACTGAATACATTTCAAATTGTTTTATAAAGCTTTGTTTTTACTGATTTTTTATATAACTTAAAATTTTTTAACTTCAAGGTTTGCAAATCATCAGCAGCAAAATCCCCATAGGACACAGTTTTAGAAGATGATGTATCAGATGATGATGAAAGTGATAGACTCCATCTAAATGCAACTGAATCTGCTAAAATTGAGCTCAGTACAAAAAGAACGTATTAGATATAAAACAAAAAATCTTGAAACATTTCTTTTTTAAAATACAATTTAAGAGCACTTTCATATACTACATCTTTATGTGGGGCTCCTGAAAAGTTTGTAACACCTAATTCAAACTATTATGATGTATGGATCCTAAATCTTCAGACTTCGATGAAGAAACATAGATTTTCAATAAAATGGCTAATTTTTTACTAAATATTGAAAATTTTAATTGTAAATTATTATATTATAAGTATAATAATCAATTATGCATTTTAAAATATATTTAAATATATATATATATATATATATATATATATATATATATATATATATATATATATATATATATATATATATATATATATATATATTTGTGATTTTCCTATATTTTTTACCTTTCATAATAGATATATTATTTAACTTTTATAAAAACTTGGAAAAAAGAAACAAAAACAGTAAAAAATTGTGATTATAAAAAAAAAAAAAATTCTAGCCCTGGCTTATAAACCCTGCTAGAACTATTGTTTAGCCGGGGTTGTAAAAAGACCCAAATTTAACTGGGGCTCTGGTCACTTACTAGTAATATTATCATTGTCATCATGTAATTCTATTTCATTTCTGAAATCACTTTCTTTTTGATAGTTAATCTTATCTGAATTGATTTTTGTTAATTAAAATAACATTGCTGTCTTTACTCTCAAAACATTTTTCTCAATCTTTTTTAGGTAATCTTTTGAACTGTTTCCTGGTTTCAATGTAATTCAATTAGGAGCTTGCTAACAGTTCTAGTTTTAACTCTTTGAAAATATATAAACTTAACATCAATAGATTGTATTTTGTACTCTTTGATACATTTGCATTTATAATGAACTTTTTTATCACAATCATCAGAACAAATAAAATCATCACATTTTACAATTGGACATTTGCATATTGTATATCAAAAAGTTTATCAAGTTTTTCTTTAAATTTTATTATTTGTTTTGCTCTTTTTTTTCTTAAACAAGCTTTTGCTAATGCATTGTTCCACAATGTCACTATTTTATCACAAATTGTTTTGTGAGTAATTAATTTAGGTGATGTAAATTCCAAGTTTACACTTGACCACTGGTGTAATAAAGCTGGAAGTATATCTTCAGCCATCTCATTTACAGGATAATTTCTTTTTTTTATGTCTTCGCAGCCCTCTCTTAATAAAATTTTATATCTTATAACTTCTCTGTTGGTTGGTAATTCTGAAACTAAAAACTGTTTTCCTGTACCAAATGCAATACTAATTTGTGTACTAGTACTTATTCTGGTTTTGGGTGCCATTATTCCTCCAAGTTATAAAATATTTAAAGAGAATTTATTATTGTTTAGAAATAAAAAAAAAAATTTTTAATATTATAATAATGAAAGCAATTGATTAAAAGTTCTTAAATTTATACTTAACAATATACAATTCACAGTTGTTTACTTATTGCGGCAATGAAAAAATAATTTACTGACCATCATTAAGATAAAAAAAATATGTTTGTGTAAACCTTTTTGCAAAATTAGAAGTTGTTTTATGCATTTAATACAAAAAATTTTTGAAAATATTTTATACATATTAACTTAAATAAATTTTTTATAAACTAAATGTAACTTTGTTTTGTTGTTTAAAAGTTTTTTTACAGACAGTATTGTTCCATTTAAAAAAAAAAAACATTTATATTTTGATAAAAAAGTTAATCACTAGTAAAACTTTTCTAATTTAAAAAATTTAATTGGATTTGGATTCTCCATAAAATTTTACAATTTTTACTTATATCCCAAATTTTCTTAGACCATTTTTCTTAACAACCTACTTTTTATGTCCTTAAAATTGATGTGTAAAAAATCGAAAATAAATTACTTAAATTACTAAGTATACAAACTGATATGATCACATCTCTATACTAATTACTTTGAATTAGTAAAAGTAAATTGACTTAAACTATAAAAGTTTGTCATGTAAGAGAGTTTAAAAATTAGTGGCCCTAAGTACAAAAAGCTTTTTTTTAATTGTACCTAGGGCTACTAGCTATTGTACCTAAGGCTGTTCTCTGAAATTTAGGTTTAACTCTATATTAAATTAGGTTTAACTTCATAATAAATTAGGTTTAACTTCATAATAAATTAACGCTTAACTCTATAATAATTTAGGTTTAACTCCATAATAAATTAGGTTTAACTCTATAATAAATTATGTTTAATTTCATAATAAATTTAGGTTTAACTCTATAATAAATTAGGTTTAACTCCATAATAATTTAGGTTTAACTCCATAATAAATTAGGTTTAACTTCATAATAAATTGATAGCTAAGGTAGAGACATAAATTTAATAAAAAATTTATTTAATCTTTTGTTCGAAATTAGTAAAAATTATTAATAAATTAGAAAAGTTGAAAATTTATTTAATCTTACATTGTTTTCAACAAATTTATTTAGTGTCACTTAAATAAATAACAAAGCAACACTTAAATAAATAACAAAATTGACTAATAGTTCTGAGCATAATTGACAAATAAGTCTATGCGTAAAATGGTAGTCTCAAATCAACCACAAGAAGAAAAAACTTTTGCACCAATCAAAATTGAACATTCTACCTTGTTATCAAGCAAATTCTTCACACACATATGGCCTTAGGTTGAAGCAAACTATATGGATCTAGGTACAAGAAATGATAGTTTCATGAAAAATGTCATATATTAACAAACCCCGATTGAGGAAGGAAACTGAACATCACATTTAGTACTAATGTAATAAAAATATGCATAGCAGTAGGGTAGTCAAGCTATGGCTCTGGGTAGTCAAGCTATGGCTCTGGGTTTTAGGGTTTGTTTTCAATATTACTCATCTTGCATAAGACTCATTTTTTACAGACTTACTAAGGAGGGGTGCTGAAAAAAACCTCCGCTCAGATAAAAAAAAATTTTTTAGTTGATTTGTCATTAAAACAAATTTTTTTTTTAAACTTTTTTTTTATTTTGACTTGATTGCAATTCGATCTCCAAAGTCTTTATATAAAGATCTCAAGAGTCTTTATTGATGAAACACAGTGTTAAATGAGAAAAAATTTTGCTAAGTGATTTTCTACTTATTTATATATATATATATATATATATATATATATATATATATATATATATATATATATATATATATATATTTATTTGAAGACATATGTCTTTAACCAAGGGTTTTAGGGTCTAAGGAAGATAAGGGGAGGGGGGATCTGCCAAAGGTGTTCAATAAAATAATGAATGGCGGGGGTATAATCAACTTTAAAAGATGCACTCTCTAATTTAGATATTTTTTATTTTATAAAATTTTTTCTAAATTAAAACTTTTCTAATTAAAAAAAAGGGAGGGGTACTTCGAAAGTGTAAGTACTTTTTAGGTGAGGAGGGACTTAAAAGTATACATGGCAACAAAGTGGAGGGGTCAAATTTCTACATTTTTGGTGTAAATACTTTATTGGCGTCTCCTAAAAGGTTTACAAACATTTAAAGATTAACATTTAAAGTTTTATTTTATTATTTAATGACAAAAAGATATATTTTTATTAATAACAAATTTTTCTTAAACATTGAATGATTCACTGTAGAGCTGTTTACTGACCAGATGTGACTCCATTTTTATGGCTGTCTAATAGTTGTGACATTAAACTTTTTTGTAGAAAAACGAAGGGTGCTAAAATATATTATTCAGGCTATTGAGTAATTATATTATAAATATTTAAAAATATTATTCATAAATATTTCATAATCAACAACAATGTAAAGCAAGAATTGAGTAGTTATATATTAGAAAATGATCAATGATGGATATATTTTCTGTTTTTATATGATTCTTAATAAAAGATTCAAAAAAACTGAAAAATAATAATAGTTGAAATAATTTCCAACTGTTATTATTTATAATAATAATTTGAAATAATTTTTTACTAATTGAGATTAAAGTAGCCTCCTCGACTGTAGTGGTCTTAGGGAAGTGAATTGAAACTATTAAAAAATAAAATGTCACTCTTCATAATTTCTGACTAGCTAAGTTATGGTTATGAACTCTTAGCATATAGTTGGGTTTGATATTTTAATGTTTTTGCAGAATGAAGAAGTCAGCAAGTTTGAGTTAATGCTTAAATTTAAATTTTGAATTGCTCTATGAGGTCTTTATTTTTTCAGTTTTTTTAAAAAATAAAATGTCACTCTTCATAATCTTCATAACAACTTTATTTTTTAAATGTTGTTAGGCCAAGCTGTTGAAGCTGGTCTTTATAGGACAAGTATGATACTTGTCCTATAAAGATCATATTTATATACTTTTATATATATAGTATACATACTATTTACTTTTATGAATTGCTTTATATTATTTTAGGCTATGTACAAGGAATGAGTGATTTACTTTCTCCTATCCTTCAACTCATGGAAGATGAGGTTGATTCATTTTGGTGCTTTGTTGGTTTGATGGAAATTGAACAAGCTAATTTTGAAATGACACAAGTTTTAATGAAAACCCAGCTTGAAAAACTTGCAAGTTTAATAGAGTATTTGTACCCAAACTTTTTTAGTTATTTAAGTAAGTCTTCTAAGTGTTATAGAATTGTTTTTACTGAGGTACATGTTGTAATGTGTTGTAATATGTTGAGATATGTTATATGTTGTTAAGATAAATATGGTCAGTTTCTGTTTTATGAACAATTTTAGAATGCCATGATTCAGATAACTTGTACTTTTGTTTTCGCTGGATTCTTATCACCTTTAAGAGAGATTTCAACAACAATGATCTAATGGTTTTGTGGGAGGTATATTGTTGTTCATTCTCAATTTTTACTCATTTTGTTTATTAAATATTTTGTTTATTAAATATTTTATTTGAGTTTTGCTAAAACAATTGTTGTTAAAAGACAATAAAATTAAAAATGTTAAAGTTATAAACTAATTAAAAACAGAAATGATTAGTAATAAGTATATATCCAATTATAAAAAATTAGCAAAATTATCAATTAATAAAAAGCAGAAATAAAAAAAAAACAACTAAGATATGTTTTTTTTTTTTTAAGTCATCGTCAAATAAATACAATTTTGTTTTATCAGGTATTAAACAGTTATTTAATTGGGTATTAATCAGTTGTTTTATCAGGTATCACTATGGTACAAGGTTATAGTGTTGATAACAGAAAAAATACAGTACAAAATTATAATGTTAGTAACAGGAAAATACAGTGCAAGGTTATAGTGTTGGTAACAGAAAAAATAAATATTTTTATTCTGAGTCTTAAAAAAAATTTAAAAGTTGACCTTCTGTTGTCTTGATATGCAAATGGCATATTACTTACAAAAACACAGATACTGCTATGATTAAAGTTATTGAAAATCTGTTACTGCAGCTGGTTATCTTTTTTCTTTTTTTTTAAACTTTATGCTGTATTAATATATTAATTTGTTCATCCCCACAAATGTTACTGGAATTTCTAAAAGAATTATAAAAATTACTAAAAAAGTAACATACTCAAGTTTAAGCAACTGTTAAGCAACAAAGGGTTTTTAGACGGCGTGTTACATAATTTCCTAGCGCATCTATGGCTAAAACCTTAAACTTTTTTTTTTTTAATTAAACACATTCGATCCTTATATACTTTTTTGAAAAAGAAGAATCTTGTTTATCTTGTTTAACTTTTTAGTTTTTAGAACTATACATTATTCATACTATTTTTAAAACTGAAAATAGAGATTTTTTTTTTATTCTTTTTGTTATTCTTTTTTTAATTATTCTCTTTTAAAAAATTATCAACCTTTTTCAACTTTTAAAAAATTATCAACCTTTTTCAACTTTTAAAAAATTATCAACCTTTTTCAACTTTTAAAAAATTATCAACCTTTTTCAACTTTTAAAAAATTATCAACCTTTTTCAACTTTTAAAAAGTTATCAACCTTTTTCAACTTTTAAAGAAGTTCAACTAAACTTAATCAGATTGTTTGGTTACACAATGTCTAATAAAATATTTTAAAACAAAAAACTTTTGCAAGTTGTGTGACCTTGTCTTCTTTTGTATTTCCAATAGATTTTTATGATTCATGCATTGTTGACAATTTTGAAGACCCTTAAAAATATTGATTATGCAATTTACAAAAAACATGACTGGCAATGAATGGTTAATGTCACTTCTAAAGAGGAATAAACAACTGAGCATCTGAGTTGCAAACAGTATTAAATAGAAAAAGAGATATAGGCTACTCTTATTAATATTTTTTTTTTGATAACTTTACTGATTAGCTGGGCAATTCTATCAAATGTTTAGAATTATAATATAAGAAGGACACAATATAAAAGGTGATTATTTTAATAATATTTTTAATTACTTCAACATTATAACACAGTTGTTGAAATTTATCAATTTTTATCTTGACATGAATTTTCACAAAATGTTATACTTATTTGAAAACATAAATTTAAAAAGCTTTCTTTGTAAAATGTGCTTAGAGCATTTATGGTTGAAATTAATTCTTCAGAAGTAAGAAATTTTACCCTCAGTCTTTTTTTGTGAAAAAAAGACTATATATTTATTCCTCACAATCCACAATCTTTAGCTTTAGTAAAAATAATAATATATTTATTAATTGTCTTTGTTTGTATATAATTGTTCTTTGTGTAACTTCTTGAGATCTATGAGGTTCTCTTGATTATGATAAATTGGAAACCCTTGAAAAATACTCTGAATAAATGTCCAATATGAAGTTTTGGTTGGATTTCCAAGTTTACTGATAAGTTGTTTAAATTTTAAATCTTTCATTTTATCCTGTGTATAAATTTTTGCCTGTTATTATGCATATACATATATGAAATATGTATTGGGTGGACACAAAAAAATCTGGTCAACTTTAAATTGAGATTTCTCTAAAACCAAAAATGCTATTTATTTCTTTTATTTTTTTTAATTAAATGTTATTTCTTTATCTTAAATTGTGTTGATAAACTTTTGTTTACAAATCAATGATTTGCAAAATAATTCGGAAACCAATTGATGTGCATAAAAAAGTTGTGAATTTTTTTTGCAGAAATCCATCTACTTCATATCGCTTGATTGCTAAACGTACAAATATCCCAAAATCTACAATCATAGATATTATAAAGAAGTCCAAGACTACTCAAAGCCTTGAAAGAAAACCTAGAAGTAGAAGAAAGAAAATTTTCCATAAATCCAAAAAGGTAAAGTCGATTTTACATTCAATAGCAAGAAATTTAAACCAGTCACAGCAAGATCTAGCACGAAAATTAAAGATTTCATGTTCTTATATCAAAAACATACGTAAAAATGCTGGAATTAAAGCATTTCATAAGAAAAATACACCTAAGAGAAGCTTAAATGATGAAATAAAAAGATTTGATGCGCAAAGAAGTTAGTTTCAAAATAGATAAAAGTATGTGCATAATTGAAGACAACGAAACATATGGCAAGGCGGATTTTTCACAACTTATTGGTCAAAACTTTTATTGTGAGAACAAAGATAAACCTGTCAATGATCAATTAAAATATATTCATATATTTAACTATTGATACATATCAACAGCCTTTCTAGTGCCTTGGTATTCTCCTGAAGGGTAAGTATTTTTTCCGGGGGGAGGGGGGAATACTCATTATGATGACGCAGTATTACATTTCATTCCCTAAATTTTTCAACAGATCTAGGAGAAAACAAGTTCTTATAAAAATGAAAAAATAAAGTTATGCTTTTTGTTGATACAAAATATTAAAATCTTTTAAAACAAACAAAAGTGTGTAAAAAAAAAAAGGAAAATCTCAGACCAAATTAAAATTATCTTGATTTCTTATTTGAAAATAATAAAAGTATTTATGCAAACACTATTACATTCAAAAGTGTATTATGTTTTTCTTTACTATTTAATAGTAAAGAAAAACATAATACACTTATGTTTTTACTTTTACTTAAAGTAAAAACATGATAAATATTTTTTATTTATTATTTGATTTTTGACATGCAATGTTGTGAATTTAATATTCTGTTTGTTGCGTTCAACTGACTAAGGCATATCAATTTTTAATGCTTAATATATTTTTAATATAAACCAACAATATTTATACATAACTGGCAATTATCTGTTACTAAAATATGTTACTTAAGTATTCTCTTGATACCAAGATAATTGCCGTAAGAAAAACCCATTCAAAATACTGTAAAAAAAGACGTCATCGCGTGACATTAATTTACAAATATTCGTACTAAATACTAAAAGTTTATACTTTTGATCTACAAAGTATCATCAAAATGTGCATCAAGGGCTCTTATATGTATAAGTTTTTTAGCTTTTGATTTTGCTTTTTGTTCCGGTCTTTGCTTCGTAGTTATTTGCTCTTGTGATGTGGTATTGCTCCTTTTAAAGTTGTCTATATTTTCTTCAGTCTCGTTAGAAGCTTGGCAGCTAATTTCCAATGGATAGAACATCTGAGCCTGTCTTTCCATTATTTGATTATTTCTCGTTCTTAATTTAGTATTTAGTATCTCGAATTTTATTGTTTTCTCCTCATATAAGTTAAGTAGCTATATCAATATTCCACTTGCCTCGATTTTTTTCTTCCCCTTTAAGTAAAAAAATCTCTCCCACTGCTATGACTTTTTGATTATGTTCTTTGTGTTGATGGTTTTCTTGTAATGATCTTAAGTACCTGCTCCTCCATCTTTTCCATGCTAAGTTCTTGCATTTCATGATATATTTTGCTGCTCATGTCGTTATATTGTTGTTAAACTCTTGATCATTGTCCTCTCCCACATTTTCCAAAGAGATAGTAATACCTTTACCATGTAGAATCATGTTTGGTTTTAAAACTGGAAGTTAAATATCGTTTTCGATGTATCCTAATGGCCAGTTATTCAACATATTCTTAATACCAATCGAAACCTCTTTAAATCATTCGAAAGTTAGGCGAAGTCTTCCAGTTGCTTTGTGTAACGGTAGTTTCACCAAACCCACCATTCTTTCAAAAAAGCCTCCCTACCATGGACTTCTTGCTAAGTTAAACTGCCATTTTATGTTCATTTTACCTACGCATTCATTTATCTGTGAACCCTTTTGTAATCGACGGATCCACTTGTGATTTTCATTGAGTATCCATTGTAATGCCACCGAACTATCAAGCCAACCATAAATCTTAATAATTAGGTGTCCTTCAAATGCTAGTTTAACATTTGTTAGGGTGTTAGCTACCATGTGTTCAGAAATTAATTTAAGTCTTGGAATAGATAACCTTTGTTTGAAAATGCATGATTTAGCAGTAAGTATTCCTGTGACTTTGTTACCTTGGTGTACTACTGCATATATTGCACTGCAGCAGCCATCTTTACTTGCATCACTAAATTTATGGATTTCAATCTTTTTTATCATATGCTAGAAAATAGTGATACTTCTTGGTATTGGTGTTAGATCTGGTAAGGTATTTTTCCAAAGCAACCAGTTCTCTGCTAATTCTGGTGATATTGGTTTGTCCCAAGAATATTGTAAATCATATATTTGTTAATAAATTAATTTTGCTATTAGTGTTATTGGGGAAATTACACTAAGTGGATCAAAGACTTCAGCCAAATTTCCTAATATTCCTCTTTTGGTTAAACTATCTGTTTTGCAAGTAGGCCTGCAATCCACAATTAAAGTGTCATCACCTTTGATGCGAGTAATGCTTTTCATATGTCAATAAATGTTGTTTGATTGCTCCCCAAAGTATAAAGGGGCTAGATGCACATTTAAACGGGATTCAAGTAAACTGAGTAGTTATAACTTCTTTACTT